ACATGTATATATTCATTAAATTTATTTTTTATTGTTCATTTTTTTCCCAACTTTACTGAGATATAATTGACATATAACATTGTGTACGTTTAAGGTGTACAATGTGCTGATTTGATATATGTATATACTGCAAAATGATTACCACCTTAGTGTTTGCTAAAACTTCCATCATGTCACAAAATTATTATTTCTTTTTTGTGGTGAAAATGTTTAAGATCTACTCTCTTAGCAAGGAGAGTAGATTTTCTTATTTTCCATTTCTTTCATTATATATGTCCATTCAATATTTTTCCTTTAAATGGACTATATTAGATATAGGTAAATTTTTTAAAAATGCAGAGTTCAATAAAAATGTATTTTTAACAAATACAATACGAATGTTATTTTTAACAAATGTACAATTAACTTCATTGCGATCCTTTTACTCTCTACGTGATCACCCCTGTTGTCTTTACTCTTCTACCAAAATGGCCATGATATGGGCCTCATCATTCAAGGCATGCCTTCTAGCTCCAAAGCACTGAACTGCCTCCAGTGCAGGATCCACTATCTTCACTCCAATCACTATGGTGGTACCCACCTTTACTCACTATTCTATCTCCTATCAAAGGACTTTTGAAGTTACCTGAGAGGAAGGGCTAAGCAAGCCCCCTGTGGGCTGGACTCCCAGAAAAGGAGAGGGCCTACTGCAGAGCCTGAGGTGATTAATTCTGACCAACCTCAAGGACTGAACTCCAGCCTCCAGACTGTACCTGAGGGGGTGGGGGAACCAGTTCTGCCAAGTTTCACTGATGTAGACAGACCCCGATCTCACACACCAAGAGAGAGGGCAGTGCTTCTCAATATGCAGCTTAAAAACTGCAGAGCTCAAGGTTCGGGGTCCCTCTCCCCCAGTCCCTCTCCCTGGTCCAGCCCTTTTGCAGATGCTGAGCGCTATTCGCTATTCAGTGTGAGAGAAGCAGGCCACCCCCGCACCAGCTACTAATCCTGTCTGCATGGGTTTCCCAGTGATCCTTGCTCAAGCAGCTCTGGTGTGTACGTGCTGTCTGGTTATTTGCCTTTGTTTGCATGTCGGTGCTGTTATATCTGCTTGGTAAGTTCTTCACTTAATCAAACTCATTCTTAGATCTGAGCTCAAGTATCATTTTCTCGGGAAGCAGTTCCTGACCTCTCTAATTAGATCAACCCCCAATCACAGACTCACACAGACCTTTGTACTGTGTTAGGATTTTATATTTCCCTGAATAACTACTTAATTAACATCTATTAACCACCAATTAGAATATCAACTTTAGGGGGGTGGGAACCATGTGAACTTTTAATGACCATTACAGTCCATCATCTAACAAAGTGCTACATACATAGAAGGAGATAAACATTTGTTGAGGTCCATGCATAAACTAATGGTGTTTATCCAGCTTTTACCACCAGTCTTGGTGAGCAATAAGATAAATTTGTTGGTTATAATCTAGATTTGAGGCTAAGTTTTATGGTAATTGTGAGTTTTCTCATGGTGAATCTCTTCTTGGTGTTAAAGAAGTAGCTGATTCTTTCAGCAAACACATTGTTAAAGAAAATATTGTCAAGTAAAGTAGTCATATACAAAGATTGCTTTTAAGAACATTCATTTTTCACTTAAAGGAAACCTGAAATATTTTTAATCCTGATTAAATGACTTGCCTACACAAAAAGCACTGTTTAGTTTGCTTAATATAATTTTTTTAACTTTAAATATTGTACTTTGTTAGCCTCACCTAGCTCATCAGGTCATTCGAATAGTAAGGTCTAAATTGACAAAGATGGTACTTAGGATTGTAGATTAGAATATTCACTATATTAAGAATCCTAGCCACTGAATATAAAAGCCTCCTTACTTATTCCTGGCATTCAAGTAACTGTGATAAAACTGACTTATTCCCTAGAAGAAGCAATTTGTTAAAATCATACTTTAATTGTTTATCGGTAGCATATCTAGTTTATAATAAGTTAAATTTACAAACGACAGCCCAATGCATTTACATTTTACTAAAAATGATCTACTAAAACAATCTAATAAATTTAAGTATGATGGCATCTCTGGTACAAAGTTTATCTTCATAAAGTAATCATCATCAGTAAGTATGTGCAAATCTTTTTATTTCATGGCCTATCATGAATCCAATTTGGGGCAGATGTTACATGAAATGAGAGAAAATTTACCAAGACTAAATTCTGAAGCATTGTTTTAAGTGTTAAATATTATCTTCTTACAAACCTATGAAATACATAGAACTAGGCAAAGATGATAATAATATCAAGAGACTTCAAGTCTTGTCCTTCAAACTGATAAAAGCCAAGAGAACTCACCTTTAACTCTATCTAGAGGAAAAGCCGGCTTTATCTTACTTCTTTAAAATGCTGAAAATGTACCAGCTGTGAAATCATAGCCCCAAAGGCATTTGCTAGTATATGAAAGCTTGTGTTATTCACCTTTGTTTTGCCACTTCCTAGGGGAATAAACACCAAGCTTTCTTCTACTGGAGCTATAAGTGCAACTATGAATAGTTCCTCAAATTAAACACGTGTTAAACACTGCTATGGGCAAATGAGATAGTTAAAGCCTGTTATCTCCCTGTCTGGATTCCTATTAACTCAAGAGTGCCCAGAGGAAATTCCCACAGAGAAGTGGTTGACAGTAATTACTTTTTCCTGTGGAGTCTAGCAGACTTAAGTAACAGAAATGTATTGCCTATTGTCATCACCTGAGCAGTATGAAGTCTCATAGTTTCCCCCCAAGACTTCATATATTAACGTTACAATGCTGACATTCTGTAGCTGACATTCCATCCATTCATCTGGATGTCTGGAGGAGAGAATGTCTATAAAAACTCAGTCAAGGGATCCTAAAAGCATATACACAATGTATACATGATTATTGGAAGGAGTTTAACAACTAGCTTTAATTAAACAAGACTTCTGGTATTCTTGAAAACATGACACAGCATCCAGAGAAGAAACATATTTATTTATATATTTAAATGTTGCAAACAAAGGAACACCTGTTTGTTTTTTTAATTTTCTAAATATGTTAGAATTTTATATCTGAGAAAAAGCCTTAAAGATCATCTAGTCTCACCATCCTCATTTTAAAGGGTTTGCAATATTTGAAAGGAATTGTCTAAGGTCACGTGGTGAATTAATGCCAAAGCTACCACAAGAACTCATGTCTTATGACTACACTTCAGTATTAAGAGAGGTTATTTTCCCAAGAGGAAATATGTTTCACTAGAAATTTAATCTAAATGAGGACAATTCTTAACCCCTAATACTACCTTAATATTCATGTCTTGAACCCACTTTATCATAATACAGTTGTTAACATCACCAAAAGATGCAGGAAGAATACAGCTCTTTAGAGGTCCTGCCTAAAAGTGTTTAAGGACTTGCTCCAAGACTAAGAAAAAACCTGATAAAATGCAGAAAGAAAGAGCACCTAGTTAGCATTACAATTTCCTGTTCTGAGAAGTTCACAATCAATAATTATTAATTTGAAGAACTTGCGTATTCAATTGGAAATTGAACAAAATAAAAGATGTCAATTATTAAAATAGATCACTCTAAAAATTACATTTATGAATGCAGAATTTTTGTAAAAACAAACATCACCATAAACCTGTCAAAACTATAATACGACAAACTTTAGAATCACGACAGGCCTTTCCTTCTCTAATCTGGGATAACTGTGGGTTGAATATACACGATGTCAAAAAGTGTGGCTGTACCTCTCCTACTCCAGTAGGTGAGGCCTGTACCAACTTCGGGGTTGGAGCAAGGAGAGGCTCTTTTGTCTAAGGGAATTAGGAGATCCTCAGATGACAAAGGAAGATGCACTCGGCACTCTGCCCTGGAAATAGTAAGAGTGCCTCTCACATTTAACAGCCTGTTTTGATCAAATGTCTTTTTAGCTTCGTTTACACATAGTTCGAAGCCATTTTTAGTTACACTGTCTGCTAATTCAAAGAAAAGAACGAGGATATCTGTCTCCATCTATTTCTCTTTTTAAACACTGAGTACAGGAATAACTATACACTTTTAGAATTTTTTTTTTACCAAATAGTTACTTATAATTTTAACTAAGGTATTCTCAAAGTTTAATATATTACTTTTATACTAGTTTAGTGCCTGGATATGGAATATGAGGGAGGAAGGATACAGGCCAGAAAACCCAAAGGCGAGCACCTTTGCGTATATGGTTAAGAGACTGATATTTACCAGTGTCACCTGCACATAAAGAGAGTTGGAAAATTTGGTAATAGGCCAATGTCAGTCAACTAGGAGGGTGTTTCACTTTTTGATCATGTCTTCTTAGGGAAGGCAGAAATTTTCTCACATTACCCTACAAAGTATTTCACAAAAAAGTCTTCTGAACAGTTCAGGCAGGCATACCTGGATGTAAGAAATAAATGAGTGCTCAACAGCATATTCTTTAGGACAGTAATAGCCTGATTAAATTTTTTGATGATACTCAATATCTCCTGGATTTCACAGTTTCATGTCCCTACTTCCATCCCATCATCAGAAATTTAAATTGTTCTGTGACTGCAAAGAGGAGAGATGATAAAAGATGAAAACGAATCAAAGGGATAATTATCAGAGAAACAACGTTTTAAATTGAAAAGTGCCGAAGGACAGACTGCATGTTCTTATCACATGCAAACTATACTCTAACTTAATGGCAATGTAGAGGGAAGTGTATTTGTACCTTATTACCAGAGCCAAATAGAGACCTCTGACAGCTATAAACATTGAATTATTGGTTAGAGTCCCCAGCTCACAGGTAATTCCAAATGAAAAACAATACCTAAATATAAAACATGACAGATAAATGTATGCTGAAATTAAAACTGCTGCTTTCTAGATTAAAAAAATAATCTCCCCTAAAAGAACTCTCAAAATGTATCAAACTGTTAACACTAATTAAATGTGTATTTCATATTTTAATTAAAGGGAAAGAAACTTACCCATAAGCAACTCCAGCAATGGTGCACTTCTTAAACTGCATTACATTGCATGTCAGAGTACCAGTTTTGTCAGAAAATATGTATTTTACCTAAAAAAAAGTTTAAAATTTCTCATTAAATTTTCAGAAGTCATTTTATTCTAGTCTCTTACAAAAGGGGAAAAAATCTTTTTATCAATTTTGTTACATTGTAGGGGTACAATGAATGCTATTAATTGAATACTTTCTGCACATTAAGGAATACGTTCATCTACATTTTTTACTGTTTTAGCAATGAATCATTTCATACGTGAACACTTAAGACTATCAAGATATTAGAAAAACTAGTCATATAGAAATATGCCTTACTATGGTCTGAACTTCCACTAGAAAGTGCCATTACTGCTAGTTAACATTTATGGAGCACTAAAACATCTATTGGCATTTCTCCACATAACAAACAATTATAAAATTGGCAGTAGCTTCTGTGATTAACTTCATACAACATCTGAACTGGTAAGAAAAAGGATAATTCTGGTCTAAATGTTATTTGAAGAATAAGAGAAAATGGCAATGGTACAAAAAAGAATCCTTCCTCGGCTAGTATGTATAAATAGATTATAAATATACACATGTATATGAATATTGTATGAATTATAAATCTAAAATTCCTGTTTGACTACTGCTATATTTTGACTACATAACTCCATTGATCAATTTAACTTTTCCTTTCTGGTCAAAAGCTATCAACAATTTTAACACCTTGAGTTTTTAACTCAAAAAGAGCCAATGCTTCACTACTGGTCAGATTATATACTGAAGGACATCCCTCGGTGCAATAATTATCTGAGAGCAAAATAAGCTTTTAATAATGTTAAAACTTCAATCACTAAAAATAAAAATTGATAGTTATATACTAATGTACTTATGCTAATAATGCAAATAAAAATTAGGAGCTGTCAATTCATACAAAGTTGCCTCATATGGCAGAAATTATAACAAATCCGGCTTCCACTTTAATGCCTCAACAAGAAATTTCATTTACCTGGCCAAGTTCTTCATTCAGATTAGATGTTCGAGCCATAGCAGCAGTGTCTGTGGGTTCATAGTGCATGTCGAGATCCTTTGAAAAATAAATAAATCATTGACTACAACTGATAATAAGAAATTGAGTGAAATTTTCTTTTAAATGCTGAGCTACGAATGTAACCACTGTCATTTACCATCCCTAAACCATCTCAGTTGATTTTCTGAAAAATATTCAATATAGGATATTATATTTCACAGTAAGGGCAGAACAGTATAATAGTTAGAGCATGGCTTTGGAATGAGGTGACTTTGGTTTACCAAATTCCAGCATTTCCTAGATATGGGACCTATTATAAGGATTAACTAAGATTATCTATGTAAAGTGCTTCTGACACAATGTAAGTGCTTAATGTGAGCTAAAACAACAGCAACTAAATATTGCTCAAATAATTAAAGGCAGAAAAAAATGGTGTAGATGATAGAGGCTCTGTTCATCTCTCTGGTGACCAAATCAAAGTTGTGACAAGAAACAAGAAGCAAACAGCAAGGAAAATTGCCTGGGATCTAGATGAATAAGTCATACAATTAAGGAGAGAACTAAGACATCACCCTGCAATGGCAGAAGGTGCGACGGGGCGAGGACGTGAGGCTGTCTGGTCTGGAGTGGCTCAGTGGGACAGAGTCTATAGCAGCTGGTGGCTGCAGACACCTCTTACAGGGTCTGTGGCCCCAAGTGAACTTTGACGGTGACAGACCTGCTCGCTCTGAGCACCAGCACCGGTTTGGCTGTGCAGAGGGCACTAGGGACTTATAGGGGGACACTGAGTTGTTGGAGTGAGGGTTCAGATGAGACTCTTTCTGTACAGAAGTGTTGGCAGTATCCATTGCTCCTCTGTTGAGCCTGCTCCCCTCCCAGTGCTCAGACTCAATGCCACCATAAGAGAGACATCATCAAACTGGATAATAGAGGTCACTCTGCCCAGAGGATTCCCTGAAACTCCACCTCCCTCAACTTGTGGCCCCACCCAAGCCAAATCCAGGTGTGTCCTTGCTTAGTCAGGTGCCCCTTGCTGAGCAGCACCTAGAATCACCCTGTTGGGAGTTGGCCTCAGTTGCTGGTGTAGCTTTTTGAGGCAACTATAAGCACAGCATCTGTGGATTGCTTGCTGAATCTTAACAGGTAGCCCCAGGGGAGCACAGGCTGGGGCTAACTATTGCCTGCAGCTGAACCCCTTTCAGGACTGTGCCACTGGACACCTACCACACAAAGCCACACTAATAAGATTAGGAGACTTAAGAGCTTTACTTAGTGCATAGAAACAGACACAGAAAAGCAGCCAAAATGGGAAGACAAAGAAGCAGATACCATATAAGAGAACAGAACAGGGATCCAGAAATAATGGAGTCAAGCAATCTAACAGATGCAGACTTCAAAATGTTGGTTATAAAGATGCTCAATGAACTTATGAAAAGTGTAGATAAATTCAGTGGCAACTTCAACAAAGAGATTAAAAAAACATAAAAATGGAAATGGAAATTATAAAAGGGAACCAGTCAGAAATGAAGAACACATTATCTGAGATGAGAAGTATATTAAATGGAAGAAACAGAGTGAACAAAGAAGGGGATCAAATGACCTATATAGAGGATAGGAAAGCCAAGGACACTCAATCAGAATGACAAGAAAAAAGAAACCAAGAATATAATAATAATTTAGGGAGCCTCTGGAACACTATTAAATGTAAAAATATCCATGTCATAGGGTACTGGAAAAAAAACAAGATGTTGAAGAGCTAGTTGAAGAAATAATGATGGAAAACTTCCCTAACCTAGCAAAGGAAATAAACATAAAACTACAGGAAGCTCAGAGTCCCAAAAACCAGGAACACAAAGGGCCCACACCAAGACATATTATAATTAAAATGCCAAAGGTTAAATACAAAGAGAGAATCTTAAAAGCAGCAAGAGAAGATCAGTTAGTTACCTACAAGGGAGCACCCATAAGACTGGCAGCTCATTTCTTAAAAGAAATTATGCAGGACAGAAGGGCTTGACACAAAATATTTGACGTGATGAAAGCTCAGGATCTACAACCAAGAATACTTTAGCCAGCAAAGCTATCATTTATTTTTATTTTTATTTATTTTTTTATGGTGACATTGGTTAATGAAACCCGATGTTTCAGCTGTGCATTTTAAGAGTAAGGCATATATATATTTACATTGTGACACCCATAAGACTGGCAGCTGATTTCTCAAAAGAAACTATGCAGAACAGAGAGGCTTGGCACAAAATGAAAACCCAGGATCTATGACCAAGAATACTTTGTCCAGCAAAGCTATCATTTAGAGCTGAAGGACAGATAAAGAGCTTCCCACACAAAAGTAAGCTAAAAGAATTTATCAACATCAAGCCAGTATTACAAGAAATGTTGGAGGAATTTCTTCAAGAAGAAAAAAAAGTGTATCAAAAACAAGAATAAAAAATGATAATAACTACATTCCTATCAGCAAGTACCTCAAATGGAAAAGAATTAAGTGCCTCGGCCAAAAGAGAGAGTGGCTGAATGGATGAGAAAACCAGACCCCTACATATGCTGCCTACAAGAGACTCACTTCAGATTAAAAGACACACACAGACTAAAAGGAAAGGGATGGAAAAAGATATTGCCCTGATGGACCTAGAGGGTATTGCAATGAATGAAATGGATCAGATAGAGAAAAACAAATATTGCATGATTTCATGTACATCTGGGATCTAAAGAACAAAATCGACAACAACAAAAGCGGAAATAAACTCATAGATATAGAGAATATTTTGAGGCATACTAGATGAGAGAGTAGTCGGGGGGGACAAAACAAAGACAAAGTGGTTAAGAGGTAAAAAAGGGATAGTTACAGAATAGACATGGAGATGTAGAGTATAGCATGGTTAATAATGTTGTAATAAATATGTAAGGGGGAAAAGGTGTACTAGATTTAATGAGGTGATTATTGCGAGTTATGTGATTTCTGATCACTATGCTATACAACTGAAATTGGCATATTATTGTATGCCAACTATAATTTTTAAAAACCCTATTGAATTGTAAAATGTAAATAAAAGCAGCTAATTGTCTATTATATTTCAATAAAGACAGGGGAAAAAAAGCATAAAAAAAAAAGTTCAAATCTCTAGAAAAATTACCTAAGGGATTCTACCTGGTTGTACTCTTTTGGCCAAGTTTCTTAGACTGTATGTACCTGAAAGCAAAATGGGTGCATTCTCAAAACCCAAACAAAAATGTATAGTTTTTGTACCAGTTTGTACTTGTTTTGTACCAGAATCATGAAGTTTGACTATCGATACTTTAAAAATTAATATTTTCTATAGTAGAACATTTTATTGACATTTCAAATGAAGAGGCCAAATCTGATCACTTCTCCATCTGTATTTCAGGGTGATCGATACCAGTTGAGGAATAGGCTGTTGAGTTGCAGGCGCCATGTTTTAAGAGGGACATTAAATAACTAGGCAATGTTCAGAGAGGAGTGACTGGACTGGAGATTAAGTTGGAAATCATGTCAAATGAAGAACAGAAGGAGACGGAAGATATTTAGTTGGGAGAGGAGGATATGATAGAAAAATAGGCATGATAGTTCAAATATTTTACAAGGCTATCATTTGGAAGGATTAGACCTTTTCATAAAAGAACTATTGGGCACAACTAGCTTCAAAAGGAGCAGTTACTAATCTCACTTCCGCACAAGGGAGAATCTATTCTGTTAGGAATGTTATGAAATATCTGTATATAAAAAAAAGGTGGTTGACGTTTATAAGCTTGCTGGGTTCATCCAACACTAAAATTATATAATTATTTAAAGCAAATATTATTTTAAAAATACAAATAAAAATAATAAAGTGATTCACTGGTTGATTTTTACAATGAGTTATCTTATTATTTCTTCTTATTGTAAGTGGGAAACCATCAGTAAGTTTTAATTGTATTATACAAATTTTATTACACAATTTTCAGTAACATATCTCCTTCATGAAATGAGCTAAACTTGTGGCTCATTTTAGACCTAAGTTATATTGATCTTTTACCAATGAATTAAGAGATTAACAGCTGAGGTAGATCATTTACCATGGAAAGGTAATAAGCAGTTACAAAAGTATCATCAGTTACATGTTTAAAAATTCTAATGTTCATATTGAAAAACTTTTAACTGATTTAAAAAGAAACATCAAAAGACAATATCAAAATTTTTCAAAATAAAGGAAATCTCAAACTTTTAGGCAGATTAGTTCTAAAGATTTATTTAATTTACATAAATTCATTAATTTTAACTTGGGTGAAAATAAAACTGAGAAAAGCAACATATTTTATAAATAAAAACATTTAGGAAACAGATGCCCAGCATGTTTTCCCAAAATTAAAAAAGGTATTTAAAAAAAAATTAACAGGAAAAACTCAAGCACAGTTGAAATTGTTTATAGTGTGGTAAAAAATCTACATAGCTGTATAACACATGATAGACATTCCGGTTGTTACAAGTAATGAATACACTATTATTTTATAGTGCTCGATTATTTATGAAGCTGTCTGCTATGTTGTGAAATTTCTCTCATCTATATAATCATTGCGAAATGCAGGTAAACAATGTTTTATCATTCCTACGTGAGCGTCCAAGAAAGTATGTCTCAAAGAAGTCAAATGGCCTGCTAGAGTTCACACAGCTAATAAATTATAGAACTAAAACTACAATCTAGATATTTTATTTCCAAATCTCATGGTTCTTTTCTCCAAGACCACTAAGTAACTCAAAATAGGTTTCCTGAACTAGAGATCTATTGTTCCCAGGAGGTCTGGTCTGTAAACTCGTGTCATGCTGAGATGAGACACTGTTACTGATTTTCGCATGTCAAATGAATTTGTTATAATTATATTAGGCTCAAAAATATTTTGAAATGTCATCTGTAGTCAACAAAAGGTAAGGTATAATTTTTTTCAAGAGATCAAAAAAACTATCCGAGAAAAGACAAAACGTAAGTTTAAAGTGATACAAAATAATAATAATTCAGATTTACCCAATTTATGAAGTATGCCTGGGTAAATTTCACCACTTCTAATGTCACCAGTAAGCTGATTGGAATGAGGTTGTTGAAAAGAATAATAAAGGTCAAGAAATTCAGCCCAAAATTATTAGCGCCACCATCTGTTAGGGGAGTTGAGAAGAAAGCCAATTAGAGTTTTACACATTTTATTTTGCATCGACCAGAACTTTAAGGATACAAAAATTTTCCATATTAGCATATACAGGTAGTTGGGGAGGAACACTGTGTTGATTACATGTCCTTATTCTCAAATACATTCTTCAGGATGGAATAGCATTACTTGTTTTCAATATGATGTTAATCCTAATAAGAACTGCATAATGGTACTAAAAGGTGAAAGCATTTCCAATTTAAAGCATGCCTTAAAAGCAAACGAGCAAAACAAGAGCAGCGAAACTAACCCAAACAGCAAAAATAACATAGGGCTAGACCCAGGTAAATTCAGCCCTAAGTAAATTATACTCTTCCTCTTCAATAATGAAAATAAAACTGCTATCCCAGATATACCAAAATAGTAAATCAATGACTGTAAAAACAAACAAACAAACACAAACACACACCTTGAAATAGCTGCAAAGCTAAATAATATAATAAAAAACAAATGAAAAAATCAATTTTGCTATAAGATTTTACTAGAACTTGTTTTCATGCTTTTGAAAATTAAGTATTTATTGGTTAAGTACTCATCAAAGGCAATGCAAACTTACTTCCCAGAAATATTTAGGAGTGGTGCACTAAACCCACAATAGTAACGGACAAAAAACAAAAACGCTCCAAAGGGAAACTATTCAATACCAGTTGCCTTAAGATAAAATGCTCATTAACACAGAAATCACTGTGTTCATGAGTCCAAATTAAAATACATTTAATTTAAACATCTCAAAAACATGTAAACTTCTTTTGGTGCTTTATACGCAATCTGCTTTCTTTACGAGACAGCTAATTACCTGTGTTAAAATATTTTTAAAACAATAAGTTAATAACATTAAAACAACAGTAATGAAAAAACATGTTATATTATGATAGAGGGCTCATTATATTTGTAAGGACTCTGAAATTTTAGAGATACTAACATTTTACTTACTTTTACTGGAAACTGCATTGAAAAAGATTAAAAGCCCAGTTATCTTGGCAACACGGTTTTCTTTTTAGAAATAATAGGAAATTCCAAGGTTGTGAAACAAATACATATTTTAATGAAAGAAAAAAAAAAATGTCAAAAAGCACTTTAATGCTTACAGTGTAGATTAAGATACCAGTCCTTTCCAGAATGCCTTCGATTCCAGATGGCTGAGCCCACAGAACAGACAAGGGACATGGCAATCAAGATACAAAATAAAATCAAAATTTGTACATTTGTAATCCGTTCCACATTTGAGAGTTTAAGTGGTGGACTTGTTGAATTCTGTAAAAAGAAACAAGATGAGTAATAAGAAATGTGTACAAATTATTTAATAATGTGTATATAGTATTTTGATGAGGACGACAAAGTCACAACTCAAAATCTAGACACGATTTTACACCTGAAACTTATACAGAAAAGAATCACAGATGTAATAAGCTGTCAAAGGTTAACTGTCTTTTATTCTAAAGGCCCCTATGTCATCTAAATCTTTTTCTAGGGTGTAAAACAATAATAATAATAAAAAGAAATAACATCTCTTTTGTAAACGACTTTTCCATTGTGGCAGGTAAGACAAATAATGTATTACTTGACTACCTAAGTAAACAGGGTAGACTAAATGCTTCTAGCTTAGTATCTCAGCTCAGGAAGATAGGCAAAGGAAATTCCAAAGTTTGAAGGAAACATTTAAAAGATCTCTGGTTTCCAGATTTCTAGTAATTGTTTTACTGAACACGGCAGCACTCTAAGCAATCCTGGCTATAAAGAAGAACAGTGGCGAGTTTCCTCAGTTGTATTTAATGATAAAAAATGACTATGCTAGATCTGTGCTAAGGTATCCAAAGGACCGAAAATGAAATCTGTCATAACCAATAGAAAATGATGGCTTATAGAATTTATAGAATGATTAGGGGTGGAACTATTAATAGCAGTTCTGCTTGTCTGTTTATAACATTTCATGTCTTTACAATGTGCAAAGTTATTAGCCCTTAGAGCAGATTTTTATGCAGTATCTTAAAACTGAGTTTCCCATACACATCTAACCACTGAACACTGATTACATTATAGCAGAGAAGGAGCATCCATAGGCATATGTAAACATTATAAGTGGCTAGGATTAAAGTTGATTTAAAATGGCCTAACATAATAATGCTGTAAAAAATTGGTCAATATTTGATTCACAAGTTTTTCTTTTAATTTTATTTAAAAAATGAAAATAAGTCCTAAAATTTTATTATTGTATTAAAATAAAATTATAAGACAAATACTTTAATGCACAGCACTCATTGTTACACAACTTGTATCAGTCACTGCAACAGTTAGTAAATGCTGCTAATGGACCAATACACAAAAATCACTGAGAATTCATAGACTGGATGATCTCTGGTGAAACTCGCCGGTCTTGTGTGCTGCGTCACTGCACAGCCCACTCACCGAAGAATGAGATTCTGGATGTATAGAGTAGGGCTCAGTAATCTGTGACAGATGGTCTGCTATGTTTGGGACTACTGCACAGACAGCTACAAATAGCACATTTTCAAAAGATTTAGGTCCAAGAGGTTTTCATAGATAAAAATCCCACCTGCATCAACTTGGTGTCATGTCCAGTGTAGACAACTATTCCATGAACCCACTGTGTATTTCTCAATTGAGTGCCTCGAAGAAGAATCTGATCAGCTCCCAGGGGTACAGTGCTATGACAGATAATGTTGACATTAGAAATGACATTTTCTAAAATGCTTAAGAGTTCTACAGCCACATATAGTTATAAAATGGTTGTTATAAAATAATCATTCTCACATTTATTATTATTTTTAGAAAAGAATTTTCCTACCAATAGAAATAATTTTTGTACAGAACAACAGCTGGAGGGAAGCATTTCAGTTGCTTCTCCTTAACATCAAACCAGCTACTTCCTACTATTTCACTACCCAAAATAGTAGACAATGTTTTGGAATCCAGAGGCTAATTTTCAACCCTATTTAAGATCTTTCCTGATTTAGTAAGTCCATTTAGGATTCTGAGGTATTTGAAAGTGGTGAGATTATGAGATGTTTTCCCTCCCCCACTTTTCTTTAAATTAAAAATAACTTTGTTCATAATAAAGGTTCAAAATATATGCAAGATAAATACACAGATCTCTTAGCACACTTGCACTGCCATTCCTGCCCTCCAAAGATAAACCCCTGTATTTAAAATCTCTAGAACATTCATTTTATTGTATTTGAAGATCAATTCTTCAAGAACTGTGAATGAATTTCCAGTAAGCAGTAAGCAGCTAACAAACATCTTAAATACTTCTCTGAAATGAAAGCGAATTGAGGCTATCCATTTAGTATCATTTAAAACACATTTTTCATGAATAAAGGTCAAGTTGGGCCTTTTGTGGGTTTTTTTGCAAGGCTATCCGCTATGGTAGGTCGCTGATTGATATAATCTCACACAGAGATATCAGAAGGGTATAAGGTATTGCAGATATAGTGGGATTCTTGATGGAAATGTACTACCACAAATTTAATGGCTCAAGGATACCCATCATTAAGCCTTTGTTTTAATAAGAAAAAAGCAAAAAAAAAAAAAAAGTCAACTATAAAGAAAAATACATTAAAAATAACTTCTAGAAAAAGGAAAAAATTCTCCCAAGAAAAGTCTCCAGACAAAACAACTTCTTTGTCAGTGGAGGCAGGTGAGACTGTAGCTTTCATATCTGGTGGGCTTCTATGGTCCAGCATCCAAGGTCAGTAGCAGCTTTGGCCTTGGACCTTCCTTCAGGAACTACACAAATATCACCTGTTCCAGTGAAATTAATCTGCATGGGTTAATAATGACAGCACCTGAAGACTTCCATTTAAATGAGTAAATCCTTAGGAAATAGTGTATTCCAATTTGAAAAAGAACACAGCAATTGTAACTCTCATTCTTTATGTACAACAGCATACCTTTCAGACCCATCTAGAAGGGAACCCTCCTTGTGTATGTTTCAAGATTAGGGGTGCATTTAGGAGCTGAGAGGGACTTCCGGCCTAAAACAGGTTTCCAAGAAGTTCTTGGGAAGCTGTTGGACTGTGCTCTGGGGCACATGTGTGCCCACTCTTCCTCATGTATCCAATTACATATAAAGTAGCCACTGTCACCTCATCGCTTGTAGTATAGATCGATTGAAATTAAATGTAAACTCTTCAAAAGCAAAAAAAATACTACTTGTCAATTACAAGGATTCAAAAAGTATTAGTTATTATTAGTTTTCATCAGAGATGGAATTCTAAAGCCTCTGGCATTAGACAATAACCCTCATCTTCAATGGAATCAAAATACTCTCTTTCCAAATAAAGAGGCTCCAAGAGCTCTGGGAAATCACTGTAAAAGTCAAATGTGCTACAAATACAAAGGTAGTGAAAATCGACTGCACATCTTATATAAATTAAAGCATATTATACGAATTCTACCTGCACCCTAAATCTTGACACCATCATACAAAGTTTCTCCCTCACTGTGTGGATTGGCTTGGCATCAATTTGATGGCAGAATTGATAAGAAATAGAAGTGGCTAGTTAGGAATGTCAGACTACAGAAACCTTACTTGCATAAATGGCCAAATCTATCATTAGTCTAGAACCGTATGTTCATGTAAAGATCATTCTGTGTAAATTTTAGGACAATATATAATTACTTTAAAAATTACAGGAAAATTCTTGGTGGATCCGAATAAGGATGACAGTTCAGGGTATAATATTTCAAATGTCCTTTAGAATTCAAATACAGTAATAATACATTCCAAATAATGAAAGCATTGATCATTTTTCAGGCTGGTACACTGAATTAGTGCATTTAGCTGGCCTCTTACAAATACCTGGAAGATAAGTTATACTGTAAAACAGAGAAGGTAGGAAAAGAGGGGAGGGGAGGATGAGAGGAAGAAGGGATGAAGGAAAGACCCACCCTTCCTGCCAGGTTCTGCCCCATGTCTTTGCTCCACTTTGCAACAAAAACTTAAAAAACCTGTTTATACAGCAGGTCCTCGAATAATATCATCACTTCATTAAAGGTAGTTTTGTTATGTTAATGAGATGCTACAGAAATCTAACTCTTGTTTATATCAATTAGCCTATGATAAAATTGCTTTCATCATACATTATCTTGCTTGAAGTTGCAGAACCTATGCATGACATAGTCAACTGCATCCTTGACATCTGTTCGGACATCACAAACTTCTTAATTCCAAAACTGTATGCTGATATTTCTCCCTCAGAAATCTCCAGGGGATTCCCATGTCACTCAGAACACCCTTAAAATGGCCTACAGAACTTTGCATGGCCCACTGTTATCTCTTAGCCCTTCCTTGGTCACTCCACTCCAACCACGCTGTCCTCCGTGACATTTCATAATTATTCCAGGCACTTTGCCACTTAAAGGTGATGTAATGATATAACTAATAATTTACACTCACTATTCCTTCTATCTGAAATCCTGTCTCTCCAGATAATCAAATAGCCAACTTCCTCACCTCTAAATTACCTTTGCTCAAATGTTACCTTCTGAATGAGGTTTACTGTTGTCACCCTAACTAAAAATGAATCCCTCCCACAGGCTCCCAATCTCTTTTATGCTAGGCTATTTTTTCCTAAAGCATTTAACACTTTCTAACATAGTATAGAATTGTCTTATCATTTTACTGTTTGTCTGTTTGTCTTTCTCTGACTGCAAGAAGGTAAGCTCACAAGGGCAGGCAAATTTATCTGCTTTGTTCACTGCTGTCTCCTTAACATCTCTAACTGGCCTAGCCTACTAGGTGCTTAATAAGTCTTACTGGTTGAATGGTTGAGGGAAGAAGCAGGAAAGAGAACGGGGATGGGAAGGATAGGTGGAGAGGGGAGAAGAGCAGAAAGCGGGTAACAGCAAAAGATGAATATAGATGATAACACGGCCTAGAAAAGAGCATATGTAACTACACAGAGAAGACAACAAGAAATTACCCAGTATAATGGAGCCCTTGGGGGTAGAGTCTGATCTCCTTAAGGTATCAAGAGATCATAGGAATGGACCTAGGCCATGGACTCACAGTTAAGCCTGTCACATAAGTATCGTGGCTAAAAAGTAAGCCAATAAACAACATGTCAGAAGCCTAGCATATCCCTGAAAACATCCAACTGCCAGGTCTGCAGGAACCCTGAGGAAGTCTTCAGTGATACCTACAGGGTTAAGATCTAGCATATTAACAAAAGGACTCTGGGAAGAAGTAACAAAGAAGTGCTTTAGAAAAAGGTTTTGAGTACTCAGACTTAAAGCACAAGAAAATAATATATACTCAGGTCAGCAATACACTATGACATAGTGAATTCTGTGTTTTTATGAAGACCGATTTTACATACCCATGTCCATCAAGCCTTATGTTTCCAACAAAATCGTAGAGATGTCTGTTTGGACTTTCACACTCGATTCTGCCAGAAATTCTCATCAAACTGTCAATGTCTTTTATATCTGATGTTAATGGTAAGCCCTGTTTAGAAATGTTTAAATAAGCAAAGAGTATATTAAATACATTGCATGTGGGAGGGAGGGGAGATTTCTGAATTCATTTAGGCCTATGATCTAAGAGATTCCAATATTTCAGAAGCAATTCTTCCCCTTATACAATATTCTGTCAAATCACAATTAAGGGATATCTTTCTCTCCACTAGAAAACAGGTTTTTCACATAAGAATAGAGCAGCTTCTGTGGAAGTTCTAAAATGTGTATAGGGGAATATAAATTAGTCTGAAAATATATTTTGAAATAAGTTCTTAAAGAACTGTTTGCTTCCAAAACTAAATATTTAGCATTATACTATTTGAATCTATGTGCTGAATCTCAGTAAGGGGCTAAAATATGAATAGAATATGTTCAAAGAGAGTAGTTATGCTTCTGTTCTTTTAGTCTACTGAGAAGGAAAACTCCAAAATAGTTTTTCCCTCTGGCCAACTAAACTGCCTGGAACTGAACAAAGCTCCTGCTTCCTGTGGCACTGTGAATTCAGATGCTCTGTGATGACCTACTTCTACTACACCTCAGTCTCCCCATTCACCATTCACCTAGAAGCCAAAAGAATACAGTCATGTGCCATAAAACAATGTTTTGGTCAACGACTATGGTGTATAGCATGGTGGTTCCATAAGATCACCATGAAGCTGAAAAATTCCTATCTCCTAGTAACATCACAGCTGTCTTAACGTCATAGCACAACGCATTACTCACATGTCTGTGGTGATGCTGGCGTAAGCAAACCTACTGCGCTGCCCATTGCACGAAAGTACAGGACATACAATTATGTACAGTACATAATACAATAAAGCTAATAAACAACTGTGTATATTTACCATACTATACTTTTTATCATTGTTTAGAGTGTACTTTTTACTTACCAAAAAAAAAGTTTGCTGTAAAACATAATGCTATTTTATGCCTGTAGCAGCTTCATAAATGTCTCTTTATTGCATCATTTTCTCTGGGCTTGATTTAATCTTGTGTTGTTTTATACAGCTATGTGCTGTACAAGCTTGTAGCTTAGGAGCGACAAGCTATGCCACAGAACCCAGGTGTGTGGTGGGCTATACCTTCTAGGTGGTGTAAGTGCACTCCATGATGGTCGCCCAATGACAAAATGTCTAAAGGTGTATTTCTCAGAACACATCCCTGTTAAGCACTCAATTCTTTTAAAGGTCTTTTTAAAACTTTAAAAATAAAAACCTTACAGTTGTTTTCTGTTAGGGATGGTACGAGAAATAAGTACAGAAATCGAAGCTATTCCCTGATATTAGTGAGACTTTCAGAACAATGGAAACATCTTTTCGGTATGGCAAATCCAAATAATTTGGCCAAGTGAATAGGAAAATGAATAAATTAACACATGTTAAAGCACTTAGAATTACTACTATTATTATTAACACCAGAGTGTTGGCTATTACATATTAAAAATATTACAAATAGTAAATATATGATGGACTATATTTAGTGGGCAAGTAAATCTGAGTGTTCCATACTACTCAACAATGTCAGCTTATAAAACCTCTTCAAAGCATCTCAATGAGAAAATGTTTGCAATTGGACAGAATTACTTCATCTCAAGACAGTAAGAAAAAAAAGTTCCTGATTCCATGTAATAAAACAGCAACAATTATTAGACCTTACCTGTCTAATTTTCAGGTTTGTTTCACCGTCTAAGTTGGATGTTTCAATGTAGCACATGGCCTGGGGCTCACTATTGTTTAAAATTGAAAAGCAAAAAGATTTAGTGGGGGAAGGAAAGCATAATAATAACTTATTTAAATACTCAGACTCACTGAAGCCTTTTGCTCTAAATAAAGCTTTAATTGTCTGGTTTCTTGATGATTTTCATTTTAATTGCAAAATGCTGTGAGGCAGAACCCATGCAGACAACTGGATCAGCTTTTCAGCCAGAAGGACCCAAAAGCAATTTCCTGGCAACAATCAGTAAAGATCTTCAAGATAATGTAAATGATTAAATTTGTCACATTGTACCTAAATTGTTCATCCACATAGTCATAACACAGAGTGTATCTGAAATGCAAAGCACTTTTGTGTCCAGATTTATCTTTAGCTCAAAAATATCAAGTGAGATTTCATGCTCATAGCCCATTGTAAATTGGTTAAGTCGTTGATTAGAAAATTCGAGATTGTTGCTTCTAAAAACTTGCATTTACTCCCATTTTAGAAAAGATGAACAGGATCACATGAACCATATTTAAATTTTAGGCTAATTTTAAAAAACCGTATGAACAGATTTTATAATGAAAAGAGATATACACTTTTCTCCCCCTATTTTTTCTGCTCTTACTCTATTTCTTAAGGCTGCTTCAGAGATTCCTGGAGCAGCAAAAGCTAAAATTAAAAACACGCAACTTGGCTATATTGCTCCTTGGCCTGAACCTAAAAGATCCACCTTATGGGTCTCCTCATCAGAGTGTTTTAGTAAAGTTTGTTGTGCAGTGGCTGGTGTAAGGGTTCTATGTTCTTCAATTTTTTTTTACAGGTACCACACACTGGAGCATGCCCCTTCACATGCTAACTTTACTTGCCCAGCAATTACAGACAGATGAGTCTGCAATCCAACTATATAAACTGATCCTCAACTAACAATAAAGACAAGCATTCTGAAGTTAATGCAATCTTATTAGCATTTAATTATATAAGCCTAATTAACTTCATATAAGTAACCTTGAATATAATCTCTGATAAGCATGTATATTCGAAACTGGCAAGAAAGAAATTTGTAGGTTACAAATAATTGGAATTTTCTAATCAACTCCCAATTTGTACATGTGCGAAACAGACTATTCCGAGTTTCAGAAATGGGCATGGAGCTTAGTTTTGTGGCCTGATGATTTGTGAAAATTACTAAAACACATGGTCATTGATCAAATATTTTACATATTTATTTATTTTAAAGTAACTTTGCAAGTTCTTCAATTGACTCTATGGCTTTTTTTTTTTTAATTTAATAAAAACTGATACTTTTTCCCAACTGGAGAAGTTTTTCAATATCTGTATTTTCATTCTCTCAATTATTCAAAGTTGTATTTTTTATTACTGTCACAATAGTAATTTGGCTCTGACCATTGCTCCCAATTTGTAATTTACTTATGTATACATTTGAAACATAAATGGTATATGAAATTATAAAACGCATCTTCTGATAATATAGAAGCATGATGATAAATGCTAAGCGAACAATGTTAATTCCATACTTTGGCCAGTAAAATGCATTCAATTTTTATTTTACATATCCAAGGCCATTCTCATACTGAAATGAAAATAACATTCTAATTCTATTTCTAGAATACTTTTTTTTCATAAAGCAACTTCTCTAGGAATTTAAATGGCTAGTAACTTAGAAAACCAAAGGGCTGACTTCTATTTGAAATGGAGCGAATAAAATATGCACCCAAGTTTATAACATACTTAATCTCTTAGGATAGCTGTTACTGAAGCAGTTCTTAACAGTGCTATGGAAAGGCAGCAAGATGACTCAGATAAGGAATCATGCTAGATAATAAATATTTCAGCAAATAATGATGACATCCAAAACACAAACTACATCCAGAGAGGCAAAGCAAGCTTTTTGATTAGTTAGTGGAAAAATGAAACAAGATGCGTATCACAATACAGACACTAGTAGACAGCTAAGATTTATCACAGTAACGTGCACTTGTCTCTAGTTACAAGTGGGATAAAAACTGATCCCAAAGCATGCGGTACAAAATGTACGACATCGAGCTTTGTGCAGGGGGTCCTCTGTAAACCCTATACAAGCCCAAATTACAGTCATGATTGTTGAAGGGATTCTATAGAACTTATAGAAAGTTTTAAATATAAGAATTAGACAAATGTTTTAATCTTAAAAATTTCTCAATAACTTTGTTTCATATAAAACTTAATGTTGTTCAAAACAATATCCTGGAGAGGTATTAAATTAAGCCTTAGTATTTAGGCATGTTGTTAAATATGAATACATATTAATGATGTATAGGAAAATAAAATCAACTTTTACTGGCATGCCTCTTGGACTCCTATTGATAACAACAGGAGCTGAATCTGCCCACTTGAGGGACGAACATCATCCAATAGGGTATTCATAAAAGGCCTTTAAAATGTCCATAAAATATCCATCACCAAAAAGTATAAAAATGTTTGTTTTAAAGGAAGACACACAGAACTCAACCATCTTTGGGTATAACTGTTCTCTGGCGTAGGGTGAGGATCCACATACACACATCCTGTACGACTCAGCGGTTCTAACCTTGAGGACAGGCTGATGAGATCTGCTGGGAGATGTTCCCCATTGGTCACTTTCACTATTTCCCCTACTGCCACCTACAGGTCCCAGTTTAAAATAATTAAAATGGAAAAAAAAATGAATAACAGAGGAAAAAAACAAACAAATGGACAAAGGAGACAGAAAGTTTGAAATTATTATAGAAAATAATACATGTTAATAAAAATGTCTAATGCCAATTTTTTCAAAACTTATTTTGATCAGGTCTAAAGGCACAAGAAAACGGAGAATATCTAAAGATTACTTATTTGCTTTTAAGCTCAATTTTCAATTTTTAATGCAGAAACTTTTTGATTATTAAAGTTTATTCGTAAGCATATTATCGTATTAAATAAAAAGACATTTTTATATAGAGCTACTTTATCTTGAAGATTTTCCTTTCTCTAATTCCTCACTCTCATGCTATTTATTGCATGTCCACTGCTAGCCAAAGAGAAAAGAAATAATCATGGAAACTACTTTTTAGGCCTTTGAAAAACAAATTATATCATACTAGTTCTTCCACCACATATACAATTTAAAAAACACTTCATTTAAAATTTTCTGATTACAAATGTTTTCAAAGTTAATTGCATAAGTATCTTATTAATTTTAATGCAAAGCTGTAAAGACATGGATCATAGCAAGTTAAAGGCATAATTACAGCCTTTTGAGTTATTTAATAATCAATAAAATCTAAGTAATGAAGTGTTGTTGGAGAGTAATCCTATGAATCTGGGAGAAATTTTTCAAAGGCATGAAGCAGACATGCCACAAGCCTGTTTTTACTTGAATGAATAACTTGTATTATTTTATTCTATTTTATACTTTCTAAATTCATACATATATGTTTGTTATAAGCTAAAATTTCAGTTTCTTCATTTCAAAATGAAAATCAATGACGCAGTACTTTCAACCATACTTATGCTTTAATTTCAAACTACCTCAAAGAAGATATGCTATTAGTAATAACTGAAAAATTTTGGAAATTAAAATATTATAAACTGTTGATTATTGCTGCTAAATGGTGCTCTTCTGCAGATGAATATCACCATGTATTTATTTTGATAGTGGACAGTGTTGGCCTAATGAAGATATTAGATTAGGAGTTAGGTATTTCAACCTTGATCTAGTCATTAGCTAAAGTTAAGTAGCTAAAAATAAGACTTACAGTCAAAATTCTTCTTTCTGTTAAATGATAAAACTTTTATATACTTCTTAAGGCTAATGTAGGTTTAAAAGAGTCAACTGATGCAAAATCCCTTTTGAAAAAAAAGAGAAAAAATTGAAAGGTGGTATTTTGCCACTTGGAAAAAATAACTGTCTAAGAGCATGAGCTTTGATATATTACTGTGAATCCTACTAAATAAGAAAAAACAATAAATCAGGTAATCTTTTTTAAAATAATAATCTTTGGAGGAAGTTAATTACTATAAAGGTTATATTAAGATATAAAAACTATTTAGATCTACAATATTGATAGCCACCAGTGAATGTTTTTAATGTTTAGAAAATAAATCCTGTAAACATGCTCTAAAGTTTAAGAAATAATCGCATAGAGCTTTCTGAGAGTTTCTGAGATTGAACAGAGGCAGATAAAAATATTTTGAAAGTTTTCAACTTAGAATTAAGTATAAAGTCAGGGCAGTACAGTCATCTATCTTCCTTTTTTGAGTATAAATATTTAAATATTGTAATTAATGATTCATCATACATGGTTCTCTCTATGATATATTTAATCAGGAAAACAGTAATATTTTCTTAAATTGCTGAAATGCTTTACTATCATTTTGAACTTAGTTATATAAATATGACATTCAGATGGTCAAATACCCATTTCTTTTCTTAAATGTTTATTTAGTACCAACGTTTTGTTGATTAGGCTTGCCTAAAACTTAAGTGACATATCATCGAACGAAAAGGGGAATCGAGGAATATTAGAGTCCAATCAAGTAACTCATCTTACTCACTTTAAAAGATATGAAATCAAGGCCTGAGAGATTAAGTATTTTGTTCAAAATTACCAAGGCAAGATAAGAACCATGGTTTTCTGCCTCCTAAGCAGATCTCTTTCTAATACCTGATGCTACACAGTTCCTGAGACAAACACAGTAAGTTCACAGTTAAACTCATTCTCACACTGCCATCTGTGAACCATTACCTTTACCTCGGTTTCAGAAACCTGCCCTGATAAAGGGTAAGGAAATGAAGCTATAAACAGAAAGATTAGTTTAAAAATCTATTAATTTTAATTTTTCTGAAAACAAAACCTATAAGTGAATGGCACAAAGAGGTCCCAATTATAAAATATGGAAATATAACTACCTATAGTTACATCAACTACTTGTAGACTTACTTCTCTAAATATCTGGAAAACTCTTACTTGCTCAATTAAGTTTCATTCACTAACTTGTCATAAATCCAATCATTTTCAATAATGACCTGATTAAACAGATTTTGAAAAAAAGGACACTGTCCATATTTACATGTGGATTTTACAAATAAAACTGTCCAAGGAAATGATGATAAACAACCTCTAAAATATTAAAAACATTTTTCTTAATTTATATTAGGACTAATTTTATAGTTTTTAAACCTAAAACCATTTGAAAGTCACATTCTTTAAATGGTAACAGTGCCATATGTTCTGAATACTAATTCATTAAGATAAGGTATGAGTAAAACAAAAATTATCTAAATTCGGTAACAAAAACAGAAAGAGCAAAATACTTCTTTTTTATTGTTGGAAGAGTATGGCATTTCAATGACAAAAAAGAAATCATAAATCCATTTTCTTGTACCAATCCACCATAAAGATCAAGACACTTTGGAGGGAAATATGAATGCATCATAAAGGAATTTAACATGAACAAATATTGCAAGATACAAATCAATAAAGAACCCAATCCATGTATTATATAAAATAAATGACAGGAAATTTTGCAAGAGCATAGTCCACAGAAAAGGATGTGGACATATCTAGAAGGAGAGCAGACGTAACTGTAATTATAACTTTTGAATTATATAGTACACCTATCACTTATTCTATATGGCAAACATGAAAGAGTCCTTTAAGTCCAATCAATTTTTTTAATGCTTAATTCAAAATCATTAGAGAGGTTTAAAAATTTTCGTTTATTCCTTATTTCCTTGGAGAAATCACAAGGTCAATGCAGGGTAGAGAAACCATCCTCTACACTGTTTGAGCATCAGTAGGTATCTCTACCTTGATGAGAGAAGTACAGTGTCAGCAGGTATATACTCTTTGCCTTTTATTATAACTATATCTCCAACATTTACCTGAAAGAAAACTGGGAATTGGTTAATTATCTGCATTGAAAGATAGTTACAAATATACAACCCATTGTATTTAAACACAGAATACAGTAAAAATGGTTATTGGCAAACTAGAACCATTTATCTTCACAAAATGGCATAAAATTATCTAGGAGTAAGGCTGAGGATGGGGCAATCCTATAAAAAAATGAACTTGTATCTTTGTTTTATCAGCTGTATAACTTATCTTCATAAATCTATCCACTTAATTGACATCACAACATCTCATATTCTCTCCCTCTGACATAAAAATAAAAAAGAGGAATTTACTAAATGAAAACTTTATCCTATTTAAGGAAGTCTTAATTAGACTTTATAATTAGAAAAACTAACTATTGGATATATAATCATTACTCCTCATGATGACCTTATAAGTGTTAGTTATAATTCATAATTTAGAGTGAAAGGAAATGGGTCTTAGGTTCTAAGTTATTTGCCCAAGATCACAGCAAGATGAAGGGCTTAGACTCACACCTACATATGACTGTCCACAAAGTCTGATTTTGTAAAAATAAATTCAGTAAAACTATTACTGTTTTTTAAATTAAAAAAAAAAGTTTAATTTCTTTCTCATTTTAATAACTGTTAACACTTTTGTAAGTATGGCCTGAAGAGAAATTAAAGACACAATATGGCCAGAAATTGTTATGAGTAATTTAAGTGACAGGTTTGTCCTAGAGCTTTGGTCAAATAACACAATACTGATAGCCATTATATCATGAAAGCTGCCCTCTCTTTTAGTAAAATGAACCTAAAATATGTTAATTCTTAATCAAGAAAAGAAAAGCCTTTTTTTGTTACAGCTTTTCTTTGTTGTCATTAAAGCCTTTTTGTTCTTTCCTCTCCCTACTTTTCCTTGAACCCTAAAATAACTCTTTATTGGGGGAAAGGAGAAAATGGTGTCCTCAGACAAAATCACAATAAAAAATTGTTGTATAGCTAGCCCACAGTGGTCTACTTTATATACTGAGAGGAACAGGTTAGGGAATGTTGGATGGGGCCTTCTCATCTATAGTATGTATACTGGTTATCCATGTAAGGAAGCTCTGGATGTTTTGATTCAAAAGAGTTATTTCAGCTGAAATCTGGATTATCTAAAATTGATAAATTGCCAGGAACTGTGGAATCAAACACCCCCGTCCACAAAAAAAAGAAAAGGGCAAACTGGGAAAAAGCAAGAGTAGGTGTAAACTGGCCCTTAAAGTTCTGTGTAGTGACAGTACACTGAGAGCACCCACTGTGAGCAAGATAAAGAAATGTTAAGTTCTCTGTAGCCATGGCTTCAGAAAGAATGCTACCCGAGTTACCATTTAATTGTTCTTTAATCACTATTTGTGTGTTAATGGTGACTTTCCAAATAGACTATATGCTTCACAAAATCAGGATCATATCTGTCTACATTGCAGTTTTTGATTGCACTGTTTGCCAAAATATTTACTGATTGTAAGACAAAGAAAGGCTTCTGGTTATTACACCGAAGACTAAAAGAAAATGTTAGTACATTATATGGTATAAAATAGTTACCTCAGGTGTCTGGGTACTAAAGTACTTAGTTATCCTCATGGTACTGTGAGGAAAGCAGGAAACTTACTTCCTCTTTGTGATGCTTATGTTTTAGATCACTTTCTCAAACACACCCATATATCTCTCTTTCTTTTTGGGTTCTGAACTCCTAATGTGGCATTCCCTCTTCCAGTCTAGTGTGTGTATAAGAGGAACAGACAAAAGAGAAAGTCAAGATGGAAAAAATTCTTTGATCATATGTTCAAATTGGAGGAATAGTCATGGACATTAGTATTACAATTGGGAATTATATAAAAGGGTAAGCTTACCAAACTATAATAGACTGATCTAAAACCTGTCCTTGTCCAATTGTAGGCCCTAGCATACTTATATTTTTACTAGGGAAGTTTTGGAGATATCAATTCTTAATCCAAAGAAATACATTTCATGGTGGAAACACATGCATTAAAACAGTTTTATAGAGTGACTTTTACACATGTATACAGCCCACCTCTTCATTCTTCTCTAGGAAGCCAGAATAGTGTATAAATTCTAAGATTCCTCACCTAAATTTCTACCTGCAACGATCTCAAAAATCCTGTGAACAATCTCAACAGCATCTCAATTTGAAGGACCAGTTTTGTGGTAAGGGCAACGAAGATAGCTGTTTACATTTCAAGAGTAGAGATGCAATGCCTTGCATAGGGCTTTGTAATTGCAATCCTTTTTTTTAAAAAAAACTCAGAAACTGGCAACTTAATCTTGTGTGACAGAGAAAAGGCTTCAGGGCAGCAACTGGAAGGATGACTATTAATGTTTGAGAGCTGAAGTCTGCCCAAATGTGAATGAATGGATGTGCGCTTTGAAAATTTGTAGGTCCTTTGAGAACCATTAAAAAGCAACCAAAAAGCAACCAGAGGAGCCACACATTGAGAAAGGCAGAGAAAGAACCCTGAACTGAAGCCTATTTGCACTAAGGTTTATATTATCTTGGCATGTGGATCTGACTCTTGGTTTTGGTTTATTGATTTTTATTTTTAATTGCACAAAATATTACACAAGCTAAAGAAAAGACTTGCCCCATACTCTAGCTAATGCAACAAGCAAGCCTGCTTTTCATGTCTGTCCACTTAGTGTTCAATAAACCATTTTTATACAGCCAGCCTCTTAGTGTACATAGTCCTGTTCTTTTCATTTTATGACACAGAATCCCTCAGATCTCTTGCTTGCTGGTGTGAGCTCACTGCTTGGCACATACAGTTAATAAATACTTGAATGAATGGTATAAAATTTTTCTGTGTTGCCATAGTATTTGAAATTACAGCTTTTGCTTGTCACAAAATACACCAGTGTAGAATGTTATAATTTATTTATAAAACTCTGTCCCTACTGTTAGGTATCTACTTATTCTAATTTTTCACTATTATAAATGATGCTACAATTAACATTTTTATACATATACATGTTTTCCCCTACTTTATGATTATTTTTTTTGGTGTAAATTCTCACAGTCCTTTTTATAGTTATTAATAGGAAGAGCCAAACTCCTAATCTACAGTAATATGTGAAATACTTCAAAAAATTAAAAATTCTGAAGTATAAATGAGTTTGTTTTTATTTATTGAGTAGATAACAAATGAGACCTCAATATTGTTTAAATTTGCAACTATTATTATGCTGGATACCTACTATACTGCGTCTGATTTCATATTACAGTTCTTTTTGATATTGCCAACTTTTGTTTCCTACTTATATAATAATGATTTTAATCTTTTGTCATATTTTGTGCAAATATTTTTCATATTCTGCCTTATTTGTGAGTTTATGTTGTATATTAGTTTGAAATTTTATATAATTAAATTCCATAGATCTTGAGATCTTATTCTTCTCCAAATATTTATTAAAGTCTTTATTCCATTTGCATGTTTTTCAAAAACAATGTTTTAACATTTAACTCTTTTAGCCAGTTGGAATTTATTTTAGCATAGGCTGTGACTTCGATATAAACTGCATTATTTCTTGAAACTGCTAATCTGTGATTCCAACATAATTTATTACATAATCTGTTTGTCAATGGTTCTTGCTTCCTTTCTTAAAACGGGCTATATTTCAGGGCTTTCTATTCTCTTTGATTCTACTCTACTGTACTCTGTTATACTCCATTTTAAATTTTGTCACATTTTGTAACAGATACTATTTAAAAGCTTTTACTTTCCATTTTACTTATAGTCATTCCTATATTGTTCATTTCTCCAAAATATTTTTCTCTTTTATCAACTATTTTTGAAAATAAGATGAAATTTAGTCATTCTCGAGGAAAAAAATGGTAATTTCTCTGGGATTATGTTACATCAATACTTTTTGAACAACTGATATTTTTAGTTTTTCTAGGAACACGATGTATTTGTACATTTATGTGAATTTTTAATATCAAAGTTTTAACATTTTCTTTACCAAGGTCATATACATATTTGAAATTTATCTGTAAGCATCTCTCATGCCACTGGGAATTAGATAATTTTTCACTATATCTTTCTAACTTAATATTTTCAACAAAAGAATGCTGTTAATTTTTGAATATTTATCCTGAATTCATCATTGAACCAAATTTTATTAATTCAAATTAATTCGAATTATTAAGTAATGTCAGCTTATTTTGGCCAGATGACTTTTGGCAACACTTTAAGTTCTATTCCTCTGTATCTCAAAGTGAGATGCCTAGATAAGATGTAATGCCTATCTTCAAGAAGACTGAAAATGTTATTATGGGTAATTGTGAGCTGGTAATTTAATTTTTAAGCTGTAAATTTGAAAAAGTAAGAGTTACAGCAGTCTTGAAATAATGACCATTAGAAAAATAAGACATTTTAACAGGTTAATGTTAAGAGTGAAGTAGTAGATGGTTATCTCTTGACTTTACAATTGTTTAGTTTCTGAGCAATTACTCTAGGTGAGAAGATAAGAAATTGATCTATCAATATTTTAGGATATGCATTTATGTTAACTATATGACAACCTTAGTGAAGGAAATTTATAATGAAATTAAATTTATCATACTTGATTATATTCTACCTGTCTTCTCTCTAAAATGTTTTTATCCACACATGCCAGACAAAAGTGTAAAAGAAACTTCTTTTGAAACATTGAGATTTTTAAAAAAATCTTGTTCTTCTTAAAGAGAGGTGACTACTGCATAAGAAAAGCATAATCAAGGTATTTTCCTCTTTGTTACTTCTATGTCAGAGACCAAAAAGAGAGAGTGATGAGGAAATGTCAATCCCTATTCTCGCCCCTGATTTAAAATAACAAAAAGGCAATTAAATCAGAGGGAATCCTATTTTTGGTGGGGATACAAGACTACTATCACATCATAAGGTAGAATCAAGGGCATGGCCTCTAATCTGCTGGGAAACTCTGGAGTGCCAATAAACTGACTATGGGTTACATCTCTGTTGTCCTGGGAATCTCAGGAAACAAAGTCCCCTAGGAAGGGTGTCCTCTGGGATTATGTTACATCATTACTTTTTGAACAACTGATATTTTCAGTTTTTCTAGGAACATGATATATTTGTACATTTATGTGAATTTTTAATATCAAAGTTTTAACGTTTTCTTTACCAAGGTCATATACATATTTGACCTCGCATCCAAAAGTCTTTTACCAAGTTACAAAGGTTCTTCACTTGTGGATGACTAGAGGTTAAATGTTCTCCCAGAACTAAGGGAGAACTAATAATAATTGCTTACCTTTTGAAACTGAGGTCTGAAAAGCATAGGAATAACTTGGATAACACATGTTAAATTGTGACTCAACTCACTACCATGTTAGAGGTCTTATGAGCAAATTAACCTCTTGATGTTATAGAACTGATTTCCAGCTCACAAGAAGATGATATTTAGTTAGTAAGACTTTTTTTTTCTTTAAAGAATTAGTACTGTGTAAATTTGATTAGCCACAACATATGAATGTGAAGTAAAATACATAAATGTGAAATATCAGAATTCTAATTTTTATTTTTACTTGGACAGTAGATGATTAAAGCAAAAAATTACAACACAAAACAGTTCATGGTTAAATGAAATCTGTGAAAATAGTACTCAAAATATACCATGAAAGAAACAAAAAGTTCTAAATATTACTTTTCAAGACAATAGTTATTACAGCATATTGCAGAAATACTAAATGGATGCCATGTATGTTTCCAATACTAAATATTAAACAGCTTTCATATCAGAATCCTTGACATTTTTTTATGTTACATACGGAAATTACATCTACTAGAGTATACCTCTCTGCATTTCTTCTCCTGAAACAAAATAAAAATCAATGCATACCTTTTCCCAGTGCACAATTTCCCAAGCACCATTTCTCAACACTGGAAAGAAAAAAGGTCGTATTTTTAAGAACACTTTTTACTACCCATTAAAAGCCTATTTTTGATGAAGTGATCATTTTAAAGAAATAGCTTCAAATAAATTAACCAGTAGCAATTTTTACAGGTTTCAAGGATATGTAAAATTACATAAGGAATTAGAAACAACCAATGTACCTTTTAGACTCCATGATAACACATTACTAACAGAGGGTAACCTCGCTGATGATGTCAAAGGCTTTCTTCAGAGCCTAGAGGAATTACAGGGCTCCTCTGGAGGAGAAAGCCACCAAAATGACATGAAAAAGGGAGTGACGAGCTTAGAAACATTTGTGGGGGTTCAGAATGGTGCACCTCTGTGGTATGTGGATTGTTTTAAACTAAAAGCAACTCAAGAGAAACTTCTGCACCTTCCCTAACTACCTAGAAGAATGTGAATTAAGGGCCTTGCCCATAATAAAAAATTATCAGAGAAAACCTCTTTTGACCTACCTGTAGGGCAGGGAAAACTTCTATTTACTAAACATCTGCTCTTCTTACATCCTGCAATGGATCCTTTGAAGCCTGCAGGGTACCTTACCACATCCCTAGTTCAGAATGTCTTAGATATCCATGTTCTCTTTCTGTCTTTAAACCTCTCGTGCATTTGGGGTTCTTTGACTCTTCGTGCATGTGGGGTTCCCATACATATGTATGTATTAAATTTTGTTATTTTCCCTTGCTAATATGTCTCATGTCTATGTGATTAGCCAAAAGAACCTTAAAGGGTAGAAGAAAGCCATAACAGTAGCATGTTTAAAAAAAGAAAAAACAAACAAACAAACAAACAAAAGCATAGAAGGAATAGATTTCTAATTGGTTCGTAAACATTTAACATATAAACCAACAGATAAAGTGTCTGCACCTTTAAGATTATAATAATGCAAAAGAGCAAAAGTTTCTATATTTGGTTTAGTGAGATGAAATGAAAGAAGAGAGTACCATTAAATTACAAGAGAAGGGTTGGTCTTCTTAGTCTTTCATTACTGCTTCACAACAGTAACATTACTCAGTAGACCATTTTTTCCTCCCTATTATCTGTTAGTGACATATTACTGAATGCAATAATCACTAAAATATAAAACAAAAAAACGAGAAAGAATAATGTGAGATAGATAGCACAGAACTTAGTACTTAAGAAAAGGAATAAGTTAAGATCAGTCAACAGATTATCCTGACAGTAATTTCCATGAGAGCGAAGTTAATATTTGCTTTGTGGACCACTATGTTCCCTGGAAGCAGTACAGTACCAGGCACACAGTAGCAACTCAGCAAATATTTTCAGAATGAATAATTTATAGGTATCAAAACATTAGATCCATTTACTTTTGATCTTAGAAGAGATGAAGCCTGAACCTTCTAAAAATAACAATGTTAATAATCACCAAAACGCTAAATAGCAAATCTAACATTAATTATATACCAAAGGTCTTGAAACTACTATCATAATATAAATTACTTTAATCTAAATATAATCTTTTGTGCTCCAAAATTCCTTGAACACAGGGGCTGTGTCATATTCATTTCTTTATCTCTAGTACTTTATGGCACTCCTGGCACATAACACACTCAAACGCTTATTAAACAAATGAATAAATGCAACAATGAATATCTTTCAGTGCATTCTGATGAATCAACTTCATTAATTAAAAAATAATTCCAAGTTGAAGAGCTAAAAGTATTCCTAGTACAATAACTATAACTACTGAATAAGATAAAGTTCCAACTTTTACTCTGCTCAGGGGTCAAGGATCTAAACCATAGGTATTTAAAATTGATCACTGTATCCTAATACACAAAACTCCAATGGCTGCAGTTTACCCGAATTGATCCCTGGAGTAAACCTGCTCCTTAGTGTTTCTCCCAAAGCACCAGGGGTTCAAAGCATAAGATTACAGTAAAAAGGCCCTGGGTTTAGATGCTGTCTCTGTCTTTACCTAGCAGTATCTTTCTCAAAATTAGTTGTTACAAAGAATAAAGAATAAATGAGAGTACTGTGCCTTCTGATCACTTAACCCAGAGGCTATAATATAATAAAACAACAAAGAGAGTTGAGAAAGTGCTGTTCAAATCAACTATAACCAAGATTAAGTAATATTGAAAGATGGCACTAAAATTTACATTAATTTAAATTAGAAAAAAAATTCTGCTCAATAGTATCTAGAACTATTTATTGCCATTTAGTTTCTTCTGATTCAATCTCATTTTAGTAAATACTCCTCCAATTGTAATACTTGATTTAAAAAAAAAAATCATTGTCCACGATTTCTACAATCAAGAGATGTGACATGAAAATGAAGATTTCAGGCTTATCTGGAAAGTTCAGAGGGCCAGTCGCTTCAACCCACATGCAACATGTGCTTGGGACAGAACGATGCCACTTCTTTTAATGGGACTCACAGCTCTATCCCCACGTTCATAATTTCCTGCTGCTTTACGCTCAGTCTGCTTCCCTTACTTAGGGTACCTGCCTACCTGGTTCATGCCCTCAAGGTTTTCTTTTGTTAATCGAGGTATAACTTACAATGAAATGTACAGATCTTACATGTTCTGTTCAATAAATTTTGAAAACTGTAAACACATGTGAATCTACCACTCGGAACAAGACATAGAAACCCAGAAAGATTCCTCATGCCCCTTTACAATCCATCTTTCCATCCTCAGAGGCAAATATAAATCAGTCACCACAGATTAGTCTTGTATTTCATATACATTAAATCATACCATATGTATTTTTATACTGAGTTTTCAATCAACATATCTAAGATTCTGCTTAAAAGATGTTTCTTTCCCCTATTAAACTGACATGGTCTTACGGTGGATTAATTCTTGGACTCTATTTATTCCATTGCTTAATTTGCATGTATTCACATCAATATACACCATCTTGATTACTGTAACTTTATGGTAAGTCTTGAAACTAGGTAATGTAAGTTCTCCCACTTTGTTCTTTTGCAATACTGTTTTAGCTATTTAGCTAGTTCTTTGCATTTCCCTATAAATTTAAAAATCAAATTGTCATTTCTTAAGAAAACCTGGGATTTTAATTTGGGGCTCAAGTCTTTAAATTTATGGATAAGCTACATGTCTCAATTTATCTATGTCTTAATATCTCTGAGTTTTCGTAGCTTATAGTGCATGGATCTTTTGTTAAATTTATGTCTTGATATTTGATGATTTTTTTCTTCTATTGTAAATGGTATTTTTTATTCCATTTACCAGTTGGTCACTGGTGGTATAAAGGAATTCATTAACTTTTATACAACGACCGTATCATCCTGTGACTTTGTTAGAGTCATCTGTTAGTCCCGGCAGGGTTTCTTTCTGTTATTTCATTGTTCTTTTTGTAGCAACTTTCTAAGCAACTTAATTTCTGTTTGCCAACAATGTTATAATTTGGGGCAGTTTTATTATGTTCATATGCCTGTTCCCTGTTCATCTCTTGATTTTTAAACTTTTTTTGCTATTATGAAAAAAACCTTTGAAAATTGTATTTTTTACTATTAAAAATGTCCTGTTGATTTTATGCCCTAAGCATTTCACCTTCTGCCAATTTTTTTATCTCTTCCACCATTACCAACACCAGCACTTCTACTTTAAGAAACCATTATTTCTGGAGGTCTGCATTAGCCACACCACTAGTTTCCTGCATTCACTCTTAATCTCTTTCAAATTTAGTTTCTGTATAAGGACCATATACAATGATTTACCATATGTGTAATAATTATGTATTATGTATCTATATCTATATATATATCTATGTATCCTTACACAGAAACACACATACAGAAGATTAGGCTACTCCTTCCACAAAACTCTTCTTCAACTGGTTCCCCTCAGCTCATAAAATAAGTTCAAACATTTACAAGGCCTTCAATGAAGTGGCTCCTCTCTACACTCCATCACCGCCTCTTACCACTCCCTCTGCCCTCTCCCCAGGCCCACACCTTTACCTGCCTCAAATCCTTTGCGTGTTCCCATGACTGGAACTCTCTTTCTTTCCATCCTCACCTAGACAACTTATATGTATTTTCCAGATCTTTATCAGGGACATTTTTTGGATACCTACTCCTTTGCCATTACTCCAAATATATTAAATGAACTTCTTGCACTTTTCCTTCAGAGCACTTATCATGGTTTTACTATACATTTAGTTGAGAAAGAATTAATGTAAGGGCTGTCTCCTCCCTCCAGACTATAAGACGCTCACTGCTGTATCCCCAGTGTTACACAGGTGCTCAGCAAATACTCGTTGGATGGAAAGCTGGATCCACTGTTGTTCTTATGTGTTTGAGACCATATGAAGCCATATTAATATTCATGTAGATTTACTAAAGATACAACTCTGCTCTCATATTAAAAACAACATACACATGATTAAAAAAACATTATATAGGAAAACATTTTGGCAATTCTTCAAAAGTTAAGTTCAGAGTTACCATATAACCCAGAAATCCTACTCTTAAGTATATATCCAAGAGAAACTAAAAATATAGTTTGTATAAAAACTTGTAAAGAAATGTTCATTGTAGCATTATTCAGAAACCAAAAAGTGAAAATAACCCAAATGTCTAACGACAAAAGAATGGATGAACAAAATGTGCTATATCTACACACTAGAATATTATTGAGCCATTAAAAGGAATGAAGTGCTGATACATGCTACAACATGAATGAATCTTGAAGTTATGCTGAGTGAAAGAAGCCAGACACAAAAGGCCACATATTATCTGATTCCATTTATGTAAAATGTCCAGAACAGACAAATTCATAGGGACAGAATGTCTATTAGTAGATGTCAGGGACTCATGGAAGAGGGAATGGGGACTGACTGCTTACATGTATGGAGTTTCTTTTGGGGGTTGATAAAATATTCTGGAATTAGATAGTGGTGATAAGTGCATAAGCTTGTGAATACACTAAAAACAACCGAACTGTATATCTGAAAAATAATATATCTTATG